GTTATGTTCACACATTACCCGTACCAGTTGTGATTGAGTTTAAATTATTGAAATGTAGATTATGATCAGACCAAAAGAATAAAAATTCAGGAGTGGTATTATAGCCATTGTTATCTAATGCCAAAAAAATATAATATAGAGCTAATCATTACCATCCCTTTTAAAGAAAAAAAAATTAATAAAATGCCTCTGATAGCACCCCATAGATGTTCCAGCTTTCACTTGGGCAGTTAACCATCTATAGTTGCTTCTCACAACCTTGTGGTCAATTCCAGTTTGTGAAACACACAAACATGCATGCATGCCCACACATATACATATAAAATCTCTTGGATCCAGGGCTGTGTGTTTTGTGAATCATATGTGAAAAGAGCAACTGGCTTAAAAATAGAGTAAGTTTATATCTAACAAGGGTTGCACATCTGGGTTTTTATAGGTAGCTAAGATTAAACCATAGTGCCAGTGTTATCCTTTTCATCCCTAGTTCTTGGAAACATTAGGTTTATTGTATGAAAGAGAGAGAATCTCGCCAATGCCACATTGCGCAGTCATCTCTAAATAAACTTTGTTTGCAATCTCCGTGAGTCATTGCGGCACAATTACAATTCTAGCAAGCTATGTTATTTGTTGAGAAGCGTCAATTTTTTTTGTGGAACAGAGAAAGTACAGTTCAAAAACTGTGAGCAGGCAAATCGATGCCATGATTAACTGATATTAACAGACACTCTGAAGATTTAAAATGCTTGCTCTGTGTTTCAAGAAAGCAGCTGAGAAAAAAAATGCCTAGCAGGGGTTAAACCCAAATGCCTGCACTGCAGCCTATTTCTGTCAACACTCCGTTCAGGAAATAAACATTTATGCTTTCTGAAATGAAAGTGTATTTTTGAAGACTAGCCGTCAGATATTTTTTGCCCTTCACACTTTCAGATGCTTAGCCTTTTTTGTAAGTTGACTGCAAAGTGCATCAGTTTGCCAGCCTGAAAAAAAAAAATGTGCTTGATGAGTGCCCATGGCACCACTGTCAACCTCCGAAGTTTCTAGCAGAAGAAGGCAAGAGAGTTGGCACAAAGCATGCTTTCTTCAAGCCTGTTACCTCAGGGGTACCTGCCTCTTGAGAAGCTTTTCAATCCTTCCAAATGATGTTATTCCCAACTGTCATCTGGTTTATTTGGAGCACACTGTGTTGCAGATAAACATGCTATTTAACTGTGGGTCAAGGTAGCGAGTCGTTCTGCTAAGCAAAATGCCTGAGATACATTAAATGGCACTGATTCCCAGACAGAAATGAAGAGAGATCAGAGTTGTCAGCGATATACAAGGAATGGGCTATAGCCAGTGAAGAAAAAAAAATGTGCCAGGGTATCATTGTATTTTAAAAAGCTGTAATACGGCTGAACATTTAAAACTATAACCTGTCACACACCAAGGATTAAGATCTCCGGGTATACAAAACATGAAGTTCAAATGACACAACTGCAAAGCATATTTTATTTCACTTGGGAAAGAGGTTTCTCTCCAAAGATAACTAAATGTAATAGATGATGAGGACCTCTAACTTGTAGCCTGATAGCTATAAAACACCATTAAACACCTGGTAAAAGCACAAACAGGTAATGATCATTAGGATACAAGTGCACAAGGCAACAGAGCCATCCGGTATTAGAAGATTCCTTAGACTCACTTTATTAAAACATTCATTCTCATTTAGGTCTTGGTCATTTAGGTTTTGAGACTTTGCTCAGGTCTGTAAAAAGATATTATTTCATCCATATGGACTCACGGATGAGAAGTGTAGCTAGCAATTCTCAAGTCAGGTAAAAGAATTTTATGGGATTAAAATAAAATCTCTCTTAGGTATTTGCCCTCTTTACTGACCATAGGAATGTGACTGTATCATAATGAGGCTGTGTAACTGCTACTCAGGCATTTGGGCAGGAAAGTTCTTTGTGCTGCCTTTGCAGAGTTGTTGTATAAAGGGTTAAAAATGTGAGACAGCTATTTAGATAGACCATGAAGAAGTAGAAAAGTCCAGACTTTTATTTTATTTTGCAAAGCATAGTTCCTCTTTTTCCTGTGCTTTTGCCAAAATTATACTTCCTTGAATCCACTCAGAGAGGAGGATATTGAGCAAGTAAACTTGTCATATCTCTTATGCTATAACCATCTCCCCATGCTTCCCAACCAAAATTTTTTTTAAAAGTACCTTTTTGTTACCTTTTTTCCTTCTCTTTATTTCATAGAGAAGTGAAATGAAAAGTTAGGTTTGCAAGAGGTATGAAACACACACGCACATGTACAAACACACAAGTCATCAGCATCGAAAAAGTAAATTTCAGGATCAACCTAAAAAAATGAAATTTTATTACTTTTTACTTAATTAAACCCCAAAGAAATGTGTGAAACATTGTTGCGGCTGAAAAATTGTTAATTTGTAAATCACAGGGACAAAGGGGCCCCAGTGCAACTTTAAAGTTTCCGTGCACGTAAATGTCGATAGCGTGCCTTCTCCATCATCAGCACTAAATTCACATTGATGCCTCTTTTCTTCTCTGTATTGATCCTTCCATGAGAACGTAGATTTGTATCTGTTAATTAATGCGTCCTGAAACAGCGTTTGTATTAATCAGGCAGATAAGAAAAATTGGATGCCTGCACCCCCCTGACAACCGTAAAAGTGCTGGCCCTGATAAAATCGTGGATGGACCTCAATAAAAAAGTTCCTCCTTCCACTCAATAAACTAATCATCCTGCTTTTAATTATTCGGCAGAAAGATGTGTGGAGATTGGAGAATGTGTAAATCTATTTACTAACAGCAGTGTCTGGGAGGGAGAATTGGGCTGTCACAGGAAGGTGCTGCGGGCTACGCTCTCTGTCCATCTGCTGCTGCAGAAAACTGCTGCTTAGGAGCATGAAAGACGGGAGAAAACCAAGGCAAATTGAAAAACCCTTTCCTTTTTTGCTCTTAACTTCCCAGATGATAATTTGTTTTTGTTGTTGATTTAACTTACCAAAATATCCCTACTTAGTATCTTTTCCAGAGTTAGATATCATTATCTGCACTGCACTTTATTTATTTATTTTTCTTCTTGATTAGAGGAGATAGAAAGAAAAAGAAAAAAGAAATAGTGCATTTTATTGTTTGTTTGTTAGTTTTGTGACTATAACATTCCCCAGATTGTAAGCACCTGGAGGTGCTATCTATGAAGTTATATTATTGTTTTTTTTCTTTTTTGAATCTTCTTTTTAAAATGTTATCAATTATATGTCCAGTTCTAAGAGGATATTTATTAATTTAACCCTAAATTGCAATGATAGGAAAAAAAGAGATCTGGAAAAAGAAAACTTGCAAAGCCAGACAAAAATGAGCTCTGTCCTACAACATGTAAGCCCCTTGTCAGTGAAAACAATGATTTTCACACTTGCATAAAGACTCCCTTAAGAAAAGTGGACTAACCCCTTTCCATGATTTTATGAAGCACTTAGAGTTAGTGTTTTCACCAATAGGTCAGGAAATCATTCCCTTTTCTTTATTGTGCTATAGCTTTTGGCATCATATGGAATAGGAACAATCTGATATGAATAAAAATGACAGCAACAATGACCCGAAGCAGGAGCCTAAAAAAGCTTGGGTGTAAGTGGATGTTTATAATTTCTGTAATATTTGAGTAATAACATCTGGAAAAGGAGTAAAATTAGATTTCTTAGTTTGCATTATTAAAAATACCCTCTCCATCTTAGTGGAATTACTAATGGCAGGACCATATATTATGGTGCTGTTGTTCTCAAAAAACATATGGGGTAGCTGGTCATCCTTGGAGTTCCTAGAGATACCCTTGCAATGAAACTTTACATTTTAAAGACTCTATAAAAAGCATCTAATGGTCAGATACCATTAAAACTTCTTTTTAGAATATAGATCTAGATCTTGTGAGATATGACTACACATATATATTCTCCAGAGTATGCTTAATTGTACTACTTCATCTTTTATCATTGATCAACATTTTTTTATTTTAAATTTTTACATTTGTTTTTCTCAAGATTAGAAGAGACGTTGTGCTTGTGTGAATGAAGCCCAGATTTCTAGTGAAGAACTGAAGCAGTCAACCATATATTTCAGATAAAAATAATACATACTATAGTAACAGTTATCAAATACATGGTATAAATGATTATCTGGATGGATATTATATATCCCACATGTAAAAATTAAGGTACAAGCTAATTGACCTGCTCAAGGTGAAATAGTTATTACCAGCATGGGGCCAATATTTCCATTCTGGATATTTCTTTCATTTCTTTTCTACCAAACCCTGATATTTTTATATTTAACTTTTAAAATAATTGAACTTGAGTAAAAATTGTGACTTTTTTACTTGGTAAAGAAGCCAAGCTGCTATGTATTCTTTCTTTTATACCACTAGTTGCCATTTTAAAAAGAAATTTATGTTAAATATCACTGGGGACAAATTATTCAATTGAGAAGGCTCGTCTAGTTATAACTCCTCATTCACTATCATTACTGAGAAATGTTTTCAAGTTGTAGTCTACTGTGTGGCCCACACTGTTTTCCTTTTTGTTGTTGTTTGTGGGTTTTTTTTTATTATTTTGACTTTTATATTGTTTATCAATATCAGTTTTTAAAAAGTATGTAGCTAAAAATCTGACTTCCCATAATACATTCCTAAAAACTTCACCAGTAATAAGCAATAAGGATTACATGGTATTTTTTTAATAAATAAAATTTAAAAATGTAGACCTTTATTTCATTTCCCTCAGCTGAGTCTATAAAACCTATAAAAACACCAACCAATCGAAGCTGGTTTGTAACTTTTACTTTGCTGTTCACAGAGTGATCAGGGGAAAATTTTAGGAGCTTCTAATCAAAGCTCAGCATCATTGTGAGCTCCAGTGCAGAAGCTGACTACCATATGAAACTAATGTTGCATTATGAAATTATGGCTTTAAAGTAACTTGATCTGCTCATCTTTTCATGCAGGCTTCTCCACGCTGTCCCTGGCGGACCAGATGAGCCTTCTGCAGAGTGCTTGGATGGAAATTTTGATCCTTGGTGTCGTATACCGATCCCTTTCATTTGAGGACGAACTTGTCTATGCAGACGATTATATAATGGACGAAGACCAGTCCAAATTAGCAGGCCTTCTTGACCTAAACAATGCTATCCTGCAGCTGGTAAAGAAATACAAGAGCATGAAGCTGGAGAAAGAAGAATTCGTTACCCTCAAAGCTATAGCTCTTGCTAATTCAGGTTGGCATATTGACATGCTCATTGCTTCATTTTTTAATATGTCATTTTTACCCCCTTCCCTTAACTTCATCAGGGATTTGTTAGACCTAGTTTGTAAATTCTGAATGAGTCAGCAAAATTACAATCAGTGTAGCTTCCAAGAAAAGTTAGAAATGAGAAAAATACACTTAAAGAGAATTATTTATTTTCCTTGCTTATTGAAAGCTGTGAAAACTTTAACCACCTAATATATTTACTAATTTAGATCATAGCAGAGCAAAAGCTCTGGTATGAGCAGCATAAGTAGAAGCCCTGGGGACAAAATTAGCTCTGCTGTCCTTCATAGACTAGTCCATGTAAAAGAATTGTGGAGCCAAACAAACCACTTCCTCTCAAAAATACACATTTTTACAATAGGGGTAATGCTTTTATTGTTGCTTCTAATTTTAGTTATCAAACAAAACTCCATTTCTTACATTCTGAAATCCTCTAAAAGTCAAATTCTGCTGAAGAAGTATGTCCCTCAAATGTCCCACCCGGGCAGCAAGGGTTAAGAATTATGGGGATAAATGTTCCTTCCATTTGAACTGAAACGTGCTAAAATAGGGAGCAACTCTGATAAGTAAAAATCGTTGGTGCTTTGTTGTTTTTTCCTTTGTGCCTCTTCTAATGCTTTATTGTGGTCTTAAGTCTCTTTTAGCATTTGCATAAAGTTCAGGATAGATCCCCCCTTAATGACGTGCTGATCATTAGATACCTGTGTGTCAATAACATGCTCTGATGCTATGTACCATTGACAGTCACACCGTGCCCCTCCATCTGCTTTTGTTTTGACCCTATCTTTGAACTTTATCTTGGTAGTTTTCCCTTTAATTACAAGAAGGAAACTGTCAATAAAATCTGTTAAATGGGATGCAATGAGTGGCTTGAATGGGCGGATGGCTATTTGTTCAAATTCTGCAGCATTCAAGGTATTGACAGTTTGTTTTCTGGGGCCATATGTGACGATCAATCTCAGGCTGGGCTCAGCCGCGCTGAAAAATGAAAAACCAGATTGCTTTTGCTTACTTGTGGATGACGACTTTGTGATTTGGCACGGTCCTAGTGAGATGAGACCTTCTGCCCAAATTGCCCCCATGAGAGCTAAGGACGCGTGACTGTTTTTAGAAATAATTTTTAATTGATTTTGTAATTAACAGTTCATCTACAATATTGATGCATAAATCCTTGGACTGATAGGAGGGAAATTGTTTTCAACAATGAAGTTGTACTTTCCTATTTGTCTTCATAATGGAGTTTAGCATCTCACAGTTTTAATTGGGAATATAACCCCCTTCCTTACCACACTGTTCACCCCTCTTCTCCCACTCCTCTGTGAAACTATAAAATATGATTCTTTATGACAAATGGTTTATTGTCATAAACCCTCAGGAACCCTTTGCCTTGCTGGTGAGAAGGTAAAAGTTGGAGCTGGGATAGAAGTTTTTTGGAAATTTATTAGTTTGTACAAACTTCACAGATGGATCTCTCATATTTAGATGAAAGATTTTATAGCATTGCTTGGGGAGGCATTTTTATTTGGTAATAATGAAACAATTCTCATTTGAAACAATTAATTGGTCAATTGTTTTTAAAATAGAGTAAGTATGTTTTATATGTTTTATGTTTCAAATTGCTTTTTAAAATTATTAGCTAATTGTGAATGCTGAGCAATGCTAAAGCTTTATCATAAAAATTGCTAAAAGTTTATAATTTTAGATGTTAGATGTATGCTTTATGGCTAAGTATTATAATTTAGAATACCTTAATTAGTAGCAGGATTTCTGACTCTGTTGCTTAGAAATATAGTCATTAATATTGTTGATATATAAATGTTCTAATCCCACATACTCTGCTGTTGGGGGAAGAAGTGACCTACTTTACAACAGTGACTGGTGATTAGACTTTATTTAAAGAACTAGTTAGTTTATTTTTCTGTTTAAAGCCAGAAATATTTACCAAGCTTTTCTGTTTCTCCTATTATCATAGTTGCTTTGCAGGAAATTTCTGCATGGCACAAATTTTTTTCTGCAAGTGATTCTAACCCTTTTTTATTTTTAGCCTCTTAATACCAAGAAAATTAATTGAACCAAACTCCATACTAAAGAAGAAGTGATTAAGGACTATAAAAACTATTTTAACCTCTACATTGTCCCACCTTTCCTGTGCTGTAAACTTTTGCTCACCATCTAACACACAAGCACCACATTTTTAGTTTGGGGAAAACAACTCAAAAATCCTTTTTTCTTTTTTTTTTTTTTACATTGCTGTCAATGTAAATCTATTTTATTTCAGTTTTTTAGTCATAAAATTATAGGTTCGTCCAGATTAGAACCAGTGTAAGTTTCTTTAACTGCTCGTGAACACATCAGTATGAAAATATTTTAATACTTTTCATAAAATATCTTAAAAAACTCCTAGATTTGCTTTTAGTATTTAGGAATTTCAGATGAATATAGATGACGTTTTATGCAAAAAATCCCTAATGTTATTTATGTAAGTATTTTAGCTTTCCCTGTATAGCTATGTGTTAATAACCAATGTCCAGTTTATCTAGATTTCATGTTATTTTAAAATGTGTCTTTATTAAAAAATTATCAATGTTATGCTTGGGAAATAAGGCACTTGACCTCCTATAATGACTGTCATATTTTTTGTGATGGTGTTTCTGTCGTATGTGAATTCAGGAAAACATGACACCAGAACATCATTGGTAGTATATTGCCTATCTTCAAGTATGTGGCCCAGAATAATGATGAACTAATACTGCAATTCTTACATACATGTATTTGAAAACCCTAAGTAATTATTTCAATTACTTTTGAACATAACAAATTTAAAGACTCATGTAAGCTGTGTTTTCTCTTATTTTTGAGTATTAACATTGAGCAATTAATTATTGCACCCATGATGAAGCTCTATGGGATCAAATTTAAAAAGAAAAATCTAGGTCACAATTTGAACATGGTAATTTGTAGGTTCCAGTCTTCTCATGCATGCACCAAGAGGTTAGACTGATCTCTAGAATTGTTTCCATTTGGGGGAATTCTATGATTTTATGATGAATTTTATCTTTGTATTGGAGAACATTGTGAAATATTGCTATAAGAATTTTGGGTAAGGTTATGCCACAGGATTCTAGTCTCATGATTGGTTCTGTTGATTCATATACCTATGAATTTGTTTGAAACTGCTATCACTGGTCCCAATGTAATATACTCATTTTCACATACTGGAAGATGAAAGGAGTCTAAAATTATGAATCACTTTAGGTCTGATCATTCTCTTTCGTTCAAGTCACAAGACCTTTATGCTTCATAGTTGCCACTCACATTTCAACCTTTGTCACCCTTGTCCTGTCCTTAGTCTGAAACCAGGTGAGTTCATTCCTTTCAAAAATAAGTATTTTTAAAGTCAGGGATTTTTTTAAAAATATCTACATAGTATTTCTGGAATGATAGGACCTAATGATACACAGCTACAATTAATACTTTGGTCATCAACTTCAAATCCTACATAATTATAACAACCTCATAGTGGCAATATGGGAATAATGGCAAGAAAAAAAATTGTACATGTTCTTAGCTGATTTTACTAGAAGTTGAAATAATTTTTTCTTTTATGTTCTGGAGATGATTTTAGCTAATGTCCAAGATATTATCCTTTTATAGAATCTTTCTGTAGCCATTTATTTTTTTAAGTCACTTTTGGGTAATCTCATTTGATTCCTACAACATACCCATGCTGTAGACATGTCTAAATCATTTTACAGATATCTGAAGTGAGCTGATAAAGAAGTATGGTCTCTGTGAAGCAGAGAGTTGGATCTTCTGTCCCGTGCTATCAGTGAGCTATTTGTATTTCATAAATAATTATGTATTATATCTTTAAAAGGCTCAGTGTAGAATACTAGAGCCATTGTACTTTCATATTCAAGAACCTAAATTAACATTTTATATTTAGTTAAGAATTGTGTGCCTTCTTTTATTTTGCTGTCTTTTTGAATTTAAGGTACAATTGTTCTTCAGTATCTGGAGAAATTGGTTCCAGGACCTCTCTGCCCACCCATGGACTCCAAAATACACAGTTTCAAGTCCCTTATACAAGATGGCAGCACTTGCATGTAACCTATATACACCTCCTGTATACTTTAAATCATCTCTAGATTACTTATAATACCTAATACAATGCAAATGCTAAATAAATAATTATTATATTGTGTAGGGAATAATGGCAAGAAAAAAATCCATACATATTCAGAACAAATACAGTTTATCTTTTTGGATATTTTCTATCCATGGTTGGTTGAATCTATGGATCTATATTCCTCAGATAGGGAGAGCTGACACCTATAAAACTACCCAGGAAAATGACAAACTGAATTTAAGAGGAAATGCTTACCATGTGATTTTTAGTGTCTTATGGTAAATGAGCATGGTAGGTAGATCTTTTACCCAGACTAAAAAGTAGTTCATACTAAATAAGAGATAAGAAATCAAAATTATAATTTTCCACCTTCTAGTATACATTTTTAAACAGAAATCTAACATTGCTTCTCAGGTTAATTATATTTCAGATGATATATTTGAAAAGTATTTTTAATGCCACCTTTAATATTCATATATATTATGATATTGCAAAATTTTAAGCAAAACAAAAAATAGTTCTTAAATATACTTTTTTATGCTTTGTGATTACTGTCCCTTGGCACAGTATAAGACATATTTGCTGCAAAAATATCTGTATTTTCAACCTGAGTAGTAGCAAACAAAATACTCTGAAGTTGCTTTACTTTGAGGTTTTAGTGACTATAACATCAGTTTCATTTATGGGTCTAAGACAAAGAGCAATCTGTTACAAAACTTAATTAGCATGATGCAGATCATCTTTGATGCTATGGAAGGTTGAAATATCTATCAACCAAATTGACATCAACATTCACTTATCCATTAAAATTATCTTTAACACTTCTACTAAATGGA